TCATGTCTCCTCAAAGACTGAAAGTGTAGGAATCCCTCAGGTTGAGTGCAGTAGAGAGTAACACGACCCTCCTCCTCATGTTGGTGTGAGCGAGCGGTCAGTCACGTGTGTGTAGGATGGCCGAACTTAAGAAGCTTCCCCTGGAACTTACGCGATCGGCAACCGGCAGGCAGATCACTCACTGTTCATGATGCACGAACTATTGGAAGAAAATCCTCAATATTGATTTGGGGGTTTATATGAATGCGTTTCTGAGGGGAACTGACTGTCTTCAGAAAAGTTTACGTGGTATTTTCTTTTCATCTCGTCTCTGTATAGTTCATATTAAAGCAGTGTTTCGCAGTGCTGCTTTGTTAATGGCGGTAACCAAGGAAACGCTGTATCTGTTGTTCCATGAGCGCCTCCTGCTGTCAGAGAGAGAATCTACGTCTCATTCAGAGCTTCTGCTGTTTGCTTCGTTCAGGCATGTAGTATCATTTCACAAAGCTAGTCAGACAGAACATTCTGTTTTTGCTTCAAATTGGGTTATTATTCAATCAAATTATATATATGAAATTATATAACTAAATGATATGTATATGAATTATATAACTAAAATTAAATAACTGTAACTACAAATTTAGGTTAAATAAAGATGTCAGTCTTTATTTTTCTTCTTTTTAGGAAACAAATCAAAGAAAAAATAAACTAATTCTACAGTTCCTAATATTCTGTGTTGCTCAAAAACAAAATATATTGTGTTCAGCGGAAAAAAGTTTTATTTTTTTACCCAGTCATTTAAAAATAACACATTTTAGAGCTGTAACGACAATACCGTGATATTTTTGCTTAAGGTTATCATACCGTCAAAATCTCATACCAGCCCATGCCTAGTGCAGGGTTTCATTTGCAGTGTCAATATCACAACATCTAACCTAAAGACTGAGAAACATTTCAAAGAAACCTTGCACTGGCATTCTAAACATTTGTTCCTGGAAAGTTTCATACTAACCTGAACAAGAACAGACATGAAACTGAGGAATAAACAAAGAAAAATCAAAGGGCTACAAAGCATGCATGAAGGGCTAAGAATCTACCCATTCACAGGATGAGTATATCATCTTATCATTTCTGTAATGCATTAAATGTTTTAAAAGAATTTAAGCAGTTGTGTGTGTCAGAAACAACAAAACATGGATATAGAGTGAAAGACGAACATGCTTTGCCGTTTAAAAGTAAGATTTTATTTTATTTATTTATTTTTTGAAAGAAATCAATATCTTTATTTAGCAAGGATGCTTTAAATTGTTCACAAGTGACAGTAAAGAGAATTTAATGTTGCAAAAGATTTCTATTTCACATAAATTCTATTCTTTTGAACTTTCTATTCATCAAACAATCCTAAAAAAATATCAGTTTTCATAAAAATATTAAGCTGCACAACGGTTTTCAATATTGATGATAATAATAGGAATGTTTCTTGAGCAGCAAATCAGCAAATTAGAATGATTTCTGAAGGATCATGTGACACTGAAGTCTGGAGTAATGATGCTGAAAACTCAGCCTTGCCATCAAATTAATAAATTACATTTTAAAATATATTAAAATAGAGAACAGTTTTTTTAATTGTAATAATTTTTCACAATATTATTGCTTTTACTGTATTTTTGATCAAATAAATGCAGCCTTGGTGAGCATACGAGACTTTCAAAAGCATTAAAAGTATTACTGACCCCAAACTTTTGAACAATAGTAAGCCTCCTTTAATGGTACTACATCTGACTGTAGGCAACAGTCTCCAGCTCTCATGTTACAAAGCTCACCCACATCACAATGATCTGTTCAGCTAATGAGTAAGGTGAGAACCGTAGAGAAATGTTCCACTGGGTTATGTTACAATTTGCACGTGCTCAATGTCCCATATATGGTGTGCAATTCTTTCAAACAAGATTATGCTTTATGGATATTCCACACCATTTATAATAAATGAGAGACCACTGGCTATCACATGGATGTGTGCAGACACAAACCCTAGTGCTTTGAGGATTACACCACAGTCAGAGACACACAGGCTGACCTGTACTGCAAAATACCCAGCATGCACAATTACAGAGGAAAGAGGCACAGATGATCTGGCTTTAAAAAAAAGCAAAGAGTGCTGCAATGGGTGTTTCACTTTTTGATTCATAGGCTACATCCTGGTGAATAAGCAGGTTAATCTATTCTCAGTGCTGACAACTGGCTTTCACATTCACTTTATATTGACATGACCTCAACTGGTTGTTGAGTTGTTTGGTTTTTATGTCTTATCAATACCAGACTAAATACAGTACATAAAACCAAACATGTCATTGTATAGGGAAAACAATACCCATATTTAACGGCAAAATGCTAATAATATATGTACTACAACATTTATTCTTATATGAAAATAACATAAGCGCTTCACAGAGTTTGACATGTTACACAACAATTATCTATTAATAAGTAAAATAAATAATAATAATAATAAAAGATATCAGGGCTCCAACCTCCATATAAACAGAACAGACTGAACCTGACAGCAGTGTACCCGTCAACAGCCAGTCCTGAACCCCCTTAGCCAGGTTTATTGAAGTCTTATCGACTGTTTTAATGCAATGACATACGTTCACAGAATAGTTGTGTATTTACAACCGTCGTATATAAGCACCAGCATCGCTGTTTTAAAACGAAACTACAGCAGCAGGTTAGCAGACACTTCCTAGCTAGTAAAAATCCACATACCCAGTCGATATTTAAATTGAATATGATAACATTATACTTATGAGTGTACTATTTTACGTACCTTGGTGGTTAAAAAGCCTCCATAACTTTGTGAAAATGATTCCCATCGCTGGTGTCCGGCCTCGGGCTACACCACCCAGCAGCAGCAGAGACTGAAAATCTATCTGCTAGCCCGCTAAGCTAACGATCCGGATCAGTGTAAAACAGTGCTCTCGGTAACAGTTATTCACTCCTTTAATATTCTCCTGTGAATGGTATCCATGTCTCGTGCGGATGGGATTTCTAAATACTGCATCATTGCAGTGCTGTCATGTCTGGAGGAAAGTGAAATGAGGGCGTTCATTTGATTCTGCGTCTGTTCGCAACTCAGTCAGAGCTGCTGACGGCGGTTAAAGGCTAGAAGGGAGACAGCTAAAACTACTGGGCATGCGCACATCAATATAGCGTAATTTTTCTCACACTGTACAACCATAATTATTATTTTTGCATTATTGTAAGGGGTATGTTTAGGGCTGGGATAGGTGTAGACGTTAATAAAACACAATCTAATAGGTAGAAAATTCAATGTACTGTTAGCTTCCGGTTTTTGCTGTATCCCTTCTAGCCACAACCGCAGACGCCTCTGTCAAGGCAGCACAGCAGGGCATTTAAAACGCGTTTGGAATGTTCGGCATGGTTGTGATGTAGGAAATGCGGTCTAGCTAGGCAGCTCATTAGGTTTTGAGATGCAGCCACACTCTCACTGGCAGCATAGTGGAGGGATACTAGAGATAGTATTTCTACGAACATGTATAATAAATATGTGACAAGACGTGTCGAGCAGACAGATGATCTCTTTAAAGACACATGCAATGCATAAAAACGAGGAATAGAATATTTGTCCTACGTCTATAGGCTATATGTTCTTGATCAATTGGTTTGTTATTATAAAAGCAGTTGTGCAACTCATTAGGCCTGCATTTGTAAAATGAACGAACGAATGAATAAATGAATAAATAAGACCTTTCAAAAGTGCTCACTTTTTTAAAATTACGACCATTGTCTATTCTTGTGATTTCGGTTGCTTTGCTGCTGACAGTTCTGAGTAACTGCTATTCATTAGTGATTTATCTTGAAGTAAAAATAATGAGCGTTTCTTTTATCTCTCATCGGCTTACAACTGGTAGGCTAAAATCACGTACAATACACACTGTTTATAGTTTATTTAACAAATCCTGCAGCTTTCTTATTCACAATTTATTGTATAATTGCATCTATATAACGGTTATTTTGTCCACACTTATTTTTTATGTATTATTATTATTATTATATTATTATTTAATTTTCCAAATGATTGAACATCTTGAAGGTTGTGTGGGAAAATAATGAAAGATAAGACCACAGATAGAACAGCTAGGCTATATATAAATCAACATAGTAAAAAACGATATATATTTGTAGGCTAAAATCACGTACAATACACACTGTTTATAGTTTATTTAACAAATCCTGCAGCTTTCTTATTCACAATTTATTGTATAATTGCATCTATATAACGGTTATTTTGTCCACACTTATTTTTTATGTATTATTATTATTATTATTATATTATTATTTAATTTTCCAAATGATTGAACATCTTGAAGGTTGTGTGGGAAAATAATGAAAGATAAGACCACAGATAGAACAGCTAGGCTATATATAAATCAACATAGTAAAAAACGATATCTTTTTTAGATATTCTTGTCAAGAGCTAGGTATTTATAACGTACTCTTCTTTTTTCAGCTTTGACAGCTCAGCTCAGGTTTATTTATTTATTATTTATTTATTTTACTTTTTTCTTAACGAGGAAAAAGCAACTGAATAAAAATTATTGAGTTGAATTTGAGCAGGGACGGTAGAGGGCGTCTGGATCATAGATATAATAATATGTCTATGGTCTGGATTACCAGCAGCATGAAGAGAGACTATCATTACATCATTATAATGCGACAAACTGAGCAGGGACAGATGTTACACTATTAGGTTATGGGGTAATGCAATCAAGAATATATGGAGAATTGTTGAAGTATTTAAAAAAGACAAGATTACTGGAAAGAGTTTGAAGCTTTCAATTTTGTATTTATTTATGTAAAAAAATTTGGTTTATTTTATTATTATTTAAAAAAAAATCTATAATAGTTGAATCATTCATAGCTGAACCGTGGAGAACCGTATGTTTCACACTCCAGACCAGTAGGTGGCGGACATGCACCTTTAACGTTGGTTTGCCAATCCGCCAAAAAAACTCGAGAGAAGAAGAAGACGAAGAAGAAGGGACAGATGTTAACGTGCATGCTGATGACTGCAGGCTGTTTGGTTCGCGAGCACGACAATTAATAAATCTCCTGTTTACATCCTAACGTTATCTAAGTAGTGTATATTTGGAACAGCTGGTCACAGTAAAGAGCGACGCACACGTTAGCACATTTGAAGATGTCTGTAACGGAGATGTTTAGCTATATCCAAGGATTTTTGAGTGCCGATCAAGATATTCGAGAGGTAAACAACAGCACTGACACCTAAACTGGCTTTTGGAAACGCAAAATAACGTTCCTGAAAAAAAGGTTATGTAGCAACGTTAAGTCCATTTGAAATGTTGTGCACTTGTCGCAGAACCTCTGCATAGAATTTTGCTTTATCAGTAGCATTCTCAGTAATGCTTTCACAGGACATCTGTGAGTTATGAACTAGACATGATAAAGTACAACAGATGTTGAAGTCTAGACAGAATGTTCTGCTGATCTCGTTTTGAATTTTGCTGTTTTCAATCCATTTGTGCTCTTCTTGTAGGACATAAGAAAAGTTGTCCAAGTTCTGGAGCAGACAGCGAGAGAGATCCTCACTGTTCTTCAAAGTGTCCATCAACCAAGTGGTTTCACAGACAGTAAGTTAAAATGCTTGATCCAAGTCTTTTGATCTACATAATGTCTTTTAGAATACGTTTTCATTCCCTCCTCCAGTTCCCAGCAAGTGTCTAAAGGCCAGAGAGCTGTTCTGCACTGTAAGAAACCACACTGGAGAGCTGAAAACTAAGTTCCCAGTCGAACAGTACTATCGGTCAGTGTAAATGCCTCTTACACTATTTTTTTCCCTTAGTGATTGAATGATCATGCTTCTAGCCTTGATAATTATATTAAAGCCTGATACATCCTCACCTTTCCATAGGTATCATGAACACTGGAGATTTGTTCTTCAACGACTTGCCTTCCTTGCAGCTTTTGTGGTATACCTGGAAAGCGAGTCCTTGGTTACACGTGAGGAAGTGGCAAAAATACTTGCCAGTATGTAATGTTCATGTTTATTTATAGGCCTATATCTTAGTACTTGTGTGAGACTGTAGTAGATTCATTCTATTTTACACGTATGCAGTTGAAGTCGACAGAGAAAAAGGGTTTCATTTGGATGTGGAAGACTATCTAGCAGGAGTTCTTATTATGGCCAGCGAGCTGGTAAGTGTTTTTTTTTTTCTCAAATGTATTCAAACTACCAATCTAACCCTCTTTAGTTGTAATAATTTACGTGCTACTGTATTTAAATATTTGTGTTGATATGAACATTAAAGGGGTCATGACATGGATTATTTTATTTGAATATGTTCCTTGAAGTTCACTTATGAAAAATGGTTATTTTCAACCCTCATTCTGACCATCTTTCTGAAATTATAAATTTTTAAGGGGCGGGTTCTTTAAGGCTTCTCAGTAAACAGCCACTGTTTGATTAACTGATTTCATTACATAGGAAATAGGGCTGTGCAAAAAATAAAATGTGTTTGTCATGCGCATCTCATCATATTCGTTTATAGTCAGTATTGGTATATTGCAACACCCCTAATTCAAACACTTTCCATTACATAATGTTAATTGTAGTATATGTGCTGTTGAAGCAAGCACTGCATAATGTTATTTTTGTGCAGCAACTTATTCAACAATTCAGCTTATTTGTGTTCAGATTTTCAATTCATGCATCCCACTAATAATGTTAGGTTATTCATTTTTGATATTTTTGGGCATTATTGTGGATTTTGTTTTGTCTTTTTGATGTGAAATAAACTTTGACAAGAGTGGAAAGAATGTGAATCAAATTAAAAGCACAATGTACCTGTTGCATCTTATTCCGTTTAGTCCAGGCTGGCAGTGAACAGCGTGACCGCAGGGGACTATGGACGTCCGCTTAGGATCTCAAACTTCATCAATGAACTTGACTCTGGCTTTCGGTTGCTCAACTTAAAAAATGACCCTCTTCGCAAGCGCTACGATGGCCTCAAGTACGATGTGAAGAAGATTGAGGAGGTGGTATACGATCTTTCCATCCGAGGCCTTGCCAAGGAGCTGGAGGCTGGAGGAGATAAGTAGAGGCGGTGTGGAAACGCAAGAGGCCGCGGGGCACTACCCTGGCTGGGATTCTCCATGACTGGAAGAGTGGTTAAACCTGTCAGTGAGCAGGTGCTCGGAGGAAGAGGGGAGGGAATGGAGGTTTTGAAGCCCCAGCAGCCTTGAGCAGTGTTTTTTAAACCACCTGCCCACCATGACCGAGATCAGTTCAGATTTTAGAGGGGAGATCTTCTCTATCTCACTTTTGTTGAGAGATTCTTATGAACAGATGCATTTGTTTGCCTGTTTTTTTTGGGGGGGATTGGATGCTTTTTTACTATTATTGATGTTTTTGTCTTGGCTATCTCTCTTGTGAATCATTGTACAGTCAAACAAGGAAGAAAACATTTTTGGGTGTTTTCATAAAACATATTTAAGAATGCTGTTAAAAACAAAAGTTCTGTGCCTGTTTTGTGGCTTGTCCAGTCAAGACATCAAAACGTTTTCTTGATGTTGAACTACATAAATATGACATTTGACATAACCTATGCTTATTGATTCATTAAATTGGGTTTTGTACCCAAACACCTTTCTTGAATGTAACTATGATTAAGTCACGTTAATAGTATCTTGCTAAAGGTATACATGAAGATAAAATGTATAAATCTTTCCCTAAATGTTTAGTTTCATACTGCAAATACATATTGAATCTGTAAATCATCTAGTGGTTTCTTAAACCACTGGTTTGCTGTTGGTACATATTTACTTCTTTAAAAGGACAGTTCATCCAAAAAAGTTCTGTTATCATTTACTCACCCTCATGTTGCTCCAAACCTGTTTGACTTACTTTATTCTGGGGAACACAATATTTTTTGTCCATACAATCGGTCGTTTTGGACCCCATTGATTTTCATTATATGGACATAAACAGTGGAAATATTCTTCGAATTCTCTTCATTTGTGTTGAACAGAAGAAAGTTACACCAGCTTGGAATGACATGAGGATGAGTAAAAGATGATAGAATGTTCATTTGTGGATAAATACATGAGATCAAAGTCATTTCTTGCTTAGCATATTTGAACTCTGGTTTATCACTTCTGCTTTTCGGTTAATGTTTCTTTCCTTCTGTTCTGAATCTTACGTTGTTGCGTGCTGAACTCCACCTGCAGATTGTGTCCTATCGGGAAGAGCTTTGGAAAAGTAACACTAAAACCTTCCAAACAAATGTTTTCAAAGGACAAACTGACAGTGCATTAGTTTTCCTTTGTAAAGTTTTATGGCAACTTTACGGCCCTCCCTATTTTGTTTGTGAATTCTCAATGCATTGACTTCTTTTTATTGCCCTTCTTGTTGTGGCTTCTTTGTGGGTGAATGTTTTAACTGCTTGTTCAGTGTTTTTGGGGGGCTTTTACTTAAAATGGTTTAAAAGAAATTCTCTGCAATAATGCTTTGTGTTCTTTGTTTCTCCCTGAAGACAGATCTCAAAGAGATTTCTTAAACTTTTTTTTTTTTTTTGAGTATTTGCATTTGAAATGCCTGTGTTCATGTGGTGGTTCAAATTGCGACTTTCGCTTTTCACTGGGAAAGCATTTGATTGTTCAGTAATGTTATGTAATAAAGATTAAGCATTGGGAATAATATTCTCAGAAAACATGTAGTCAGTTGAGAGAGATGGATACTTGTCGTTTTTAATTGCAATTCACAATATTTTACACACAAAAAATAATTTAAATTAGGATTATTAAGAATGGAAAAAAGTATTTAACAGCTTGATTGGTCTCAGTTTTCAGTCCTGGCAGGTTCAACTCATCTTTTTGTTGTGTAATGTGGAAGCTACGGTATGATATTTCTAACAGTATCAATGCCATTGGAAAAAACCCAGTAAATATCAATGTTGAAACCTAAATGCCTAAATCAATTTCTGTCCATTCTGTGACAATTGACTTTAAACATAGAGAGACCAGAAAGACTGATTGATTGCTATTGCTGATGTCAACTGTGGTTCATTTTCTCTTAAAGTTAAAGCAATCTTTAAAACAAAGTACAGTAAAGCTTTGTAAACTGCAGAACAATGTCCTTGCTCCAGTTTAGGACCTTCATATTAAAGTGCATCAAACAAAAACAGTTAACATTTAACAAGTTATCATAAAGCACAGTCTGTATATCAGTGGGGAAATCAGAATATAATAGCAGCTACAGAAAAATTATAGATCTTTTTCTCAATTTGACATAAGGCCTGATTTGTGGGTAAAAGTAGAGGAAAAACTTGAACAAAATAGTACTAAGGTATCATTCGGTATCAAATAAACAAAGGCACATATTTTCTCCCCCTCAGAGATCAAAGGAAAGCAAAATTGGGGGTTGGGGGCGGGGCATCTAATCAACATTTTCTAATTGAAGATCTTGTTCATGGCTACAGATGTTTTCAGCACAACCATTAATGTGGCAATGACAATACTTGATGCTTAGACTGATGCTACACCCTCATTAGATTGTGCAGAAAACATACCAAAAAATGTTTGTTACATCACTGATCACAAGAATATGGGTACCTGTGAATAAAAACAGCTTGACTGCTACACAATACAATGAAGATTATTGCTGTTTTGAAAACCAGTACAATGATACAAAAATGAGAACTCCCGAATGGCAGTGGGAATAGATGCTAACGGAAGGGAGAGAGAAAGAAAGGGAATTACAATGATCCGAAAACAAAACAGCTTTACCTCAGTCTTCACACAAAACACAGGTTTCCACTCTGTTGTGCATACTAAAAAGTCCATATAAAGTCCATCCAATCACAAACATGTTCCCTCATGCTTATCACAAAAACCATTTCACAACTGAGAACATTTCTCAGAGGCAAACTGGTTGTACAATCAGTGTTTTACAAGTGCAGCAGTGAGGCGCCAAACAAGGCCCTCATTTTGGTATGCCAAAGGGCATTTACTTTTTGCTTGACAGTGGATTTTTTCTCTTCCCAAACGTCATTAACTTGCTTTCCACCCATACAAAGTGCCCTCTTGCAGTCTATATTAATATTCAGTCAAATCACAGTAAAACCTACCAATTTAAAAGTCCATTGGTGGATGGTTCTCCCACACAAATACTGTTTGCTCAACAAAATATTGATTTTTTAAAATTATTAATATTTACATCAGAGTTATGCTGGGAAGGGATGAGGGATGTGCCGCTAAGGACTCAGTCTCAGGACCGGCTCTGGGTTGTGTTAATCATGATATTAGGGAGAGCATTGCGTCTCTTTCTCCAGGATCCCAAATCACAAGCGTATCTCTTGATCTGGCGAAACCACTGCTGAGTGCGAGGTTTGTCGGAGGCACGGAAAACGAAGGCCTCACGTCGAATGTCCAGCACCTCAAAGGTGTCTTCACAGTCGGGGTCGGCGGACACCACGCAGTTTGCCAAATGGATTGGCTCCCGTAACACAGTGAACTTCCCGCTGCTCTTGTCCTTGATGAGCACCAGTACACTGTCCTGCACCGTCTCCGAGGTCTCCAGACTCCCTTCAGTCACCGTTTCTGTGTTGCGCAGAGTGCGTACCATAAGTAAACTCTGAACGTTCTGGAATTTGAGGGATTTGCTTCCCTTCTTATGCCACTGGCCATCGGCGGGCTGTGCCAACTGGAGCGGCCCCTCCATGATAAACCGTGTGCTCTCTCGCATCCAGGCCACCGTCTTCATCGACAGCTCTCTCATCTCAATGTTGATGACTTCTCGGTTCTTGCGGCTGTCGCGCCGGAAAGAACGCAAGGACCATGTGGCGGTCCCTTCCTGTTTGGTCTTCATGTTGATGTGCTCTAGATGGGACTCCACGCGGCTCTTGGCTTCTTTTAAGCGGGAGTAGTCCGGGTGACACTCGTTGGTGGCCTTGCTGATGCGACTTAGCAGTAATGGGTACTTGGTCACACGCTGCAGGGGGGCCATGAGGAAGGAGCGCAGGTTCATGCGCCTGAGTGCCGTGTTGTCATTCTGGGACACATCGAGGAATATCCTGAGGGATGTAAAGGAGCAAACTTTCATATACTTTCAACTTGTGAATCATATATTGTATACATAAGATTGGTAATATTTACTAAGGATCCAAAATTGGGGACTGTATCACTTCTTTTTCAGCTCTTCTCACAACAAAGCTCTGTAAATTCATGAATGAAGACTCTTTAGGAGATTTCAGAACAGTTTGCTACAAAAATCTGATTGCCAAAAAAAAAAAGATGGCTAGAAGGCCCAGGGGCCAGTATGCAAGAGTTCTGAGCTACGCACTGTAAACTTAAACATTCTGTGATGCATTGAACGTTGTGGGTATACATTTTTGGTGCTGATTTAAATATGTCATCAATGTATCTAGCAAGATAGCATGGTGTATGTAGGATGTAGGTAAAATGAACAATCACATAATGCCTTTGTTTTCTAGCAAAAATAATGTTTTTAAATTATGGCTGTATAATTTATATTATTCAATAATTACTATTGAAAAATAATAACCTAATAAAAAACTTGCCAAAGAAAAAAACAACCAATTTACCAATTACAACCACTTAACATTTAATTAAAAATAGAAATAAAAAAAGTTATTTCTTACATGTATAAAAATATATTTTTTAAATAAATAAATACACACACAGACACACACACACACACACACAATATATATTAATAATTTTCTTCATGGTGGGGCCAGTGAAAATATGAATAGTGCATGTACAAATCTGAACTACTGGCCCAATGGGGAAAAACAAATCTTACTGTTGAGCTCTGGTTAGGATTATATTTGAACAGACCTACTAACTTGAGTTTGTGCATGCACACTTACACTGCTGATGCTTAACTACCTTTATTTTTAACACTGAATGACAGTGGCAAAGCAGTTAAAGTATATATTATGTGTACCTAAGAAGCTCTTTTTCTTTCTCCAGTGTGTTGAGCATGTTCACAGATGTGGACTGCTGCAGGCAGTAGGTCTGAAACGCTGGAAGCATGTTGACAAACTCCAAGAAGATTTCTCCAATGCACACAGTCTGCAGGTCCTCATCGCCCTGTATGGAGACAGTCACCGTTTAATTTAGGTTTACCATTACCATTACTTTTCAGTGTCACATGATCCTTCAGAAATTATTCTAATATGCTGATTTGGTGCTTATGCAACATTTCTTACTATTATCAATGTTGAAAACAGTTGTGCTGCTTAATATTTTTGTGGAGACACAAAATATCGTAACAATTAAGTCTTAGCTGTCAGTCAGTTGCTGTAGATTGATTTAATGCATGAATCCTTGCTAAATATATATACTAAAGTTTAACGTACAGTCTAAAATTCCCCCCAATTTTTTTAATCAGTAGATTTTGGGACTGACACAAAAAAACTAACTAAAACCATTGTTATGTTAATGTTGAAATGGCCACATACTAGCCAGGCAAAATGTCACTCCATCACTAGCATTCCTTACCTGATCAAAACCCTGATCAATGCTGTCCTGCAGGTGCTCTGTGAACCGGTCATTGACATCAATGAGCTCTTGAACATTGCTGAAGACCACGGCCAGCTGCTCTGCTGTGAGCAGCCCTGCACTCTGCATGGGGCAGTAAAACTCTTCCTTGATGATACGCAGGTCCTCGCCATAACTCGACTCAGTGTTGAGAAACTCTAGGATGGCCTCTTTGCGCTCTGTGCGTAGCTTGGAGCAGCGTTCACACATGCCTTGCTCACGGGCGCCCTCTTTGTGTCCACAGTCGGGACAGGGCTGCTGAATGTCCCAGTTCCTGAGGGACGGCAAGGGTCTCCTCCAGCCCCGAGCCAATCCAGGGCCGATGCCGCTGTCCACACGTTCTACCTCTGCTCCAGCACTGTGGCGGGCACGACGGGGCTCTTCCTCATCTTCACGCTCATCGCTCAAGCCTACGACACCGCTGTCTGCGCTCAGGCTGCTGACGGTACTCCAGCGGTGCTGTGCTGAGCGGCTCACACCCAGGCCCCTGCTCCTCTCCTCACCTCTGGGCTCTGAGCGGCCCCTGGCTGTGCCTGGCACTGATGACAAAGAGCAAACAAATCTCTGAAGATCAGCTCTCAGAATTTCATAACAATAGTTACATTAATGATATAGTGATTATCAAAAAAGTCTAATACAACAGTAAAAAAAACTAAAATGTTAAAACAAAAAGAGACCATAAAAACAGAAAAATTTCAGTTTAAATTCACTTAAATATTGTATTATATAACACAATGCATTTGAGGTGTTTTGAACTTCAAAACAACCCCATTAAATTATATGTGATAGTGGGACATTAGGACCCAGGGGAGAGTGGTGTGTGATACGATCGGAAAGGGCAAAGTAACTAATAATCATCATGTAACATAAACCAGTTTAGAAGCTGTTTTAAAGGTCACAGACTAGAAGGATAGAACAGGAAATTGAACGGCGAAATGTGTGGTCAGAAAGTTTTCTTTTTTTAACACTTTATTTTAAGGTGTCCTTGTTAACATGATACATTTTCTCAGTTTAAACATTTGATATGTCATCTATGTTGTATTCTGAATAAAATATTGACATTTGAAACTTCCACATCATTGCATTCTGTTTTTATTCACAATTTGTACAGTGTCCCAACTTTTTTGGAATCGGGTTTGTATAATTACACGGTAAAAAGGGCACCTTAACATAAAGTGTAACATAAATAGAAATCGCCAAATTATTTTCATGTTATAAAAACTGATGACAGATATTATAAATCAATACTTTTTAAAACCTATACTTAAAGAAAATTATGAAAGTTCCTTTTGCTATAACTATAACAACTATGCAAATTATCCTGTTTGAAATAAAATTGCATAACTTCTCATAATGGTTGAGGGTGGTGCTCTGGGACAGCTCAGAGAGTTAAGTATTTGACATAATCTATCACTACTCCTTTTAAGTTAGTGCTATGTGATAATCTAAATTTTAAAAAAGCCACAAACAATATTTCGATGTTTGGTAATACCAATACATTTAAAAAATGACAAACAATGGAAAATAACCAATATGGTGCTGATACAGTATACTGTGCACTCCTAATTTGATACTAGATATGCATTTGATAATTGCCTTTAAGTCTAAAAACAACTAAACAAAGTACAGACACCGAGTATGGATGCTGCGGTATAGAAAGATAAAAGCAGTCCTCAGGGCAGAGGTCATGCATGTAACGGCCAGGCTTTAGTAATAGCATATAGTCTCATAATAACAACTAAAGTGATACCCTTAGGTTACAGACAAGCCTAAAAATTGTTTTAAATGGAGTATTGTCAGAACAAAACTAGGACATGAGTTAAGGTTACTTACAGCAAGAAATGTGCGCAAAGCGTAGTGCAGTTGAAAGAGTCTTACCACTGTCCCTGTCTCTGCGGTGAATGTGTAAACATGCGGCGGCGGCGATCTTCATCTCCAGCTGCTTACGCTTGGTGGCGTCTGCAGGCATGGGGTCGCTATAGTGGGGCCGCAGGCGGCACTCACGCTGGGCCCTCACTGACTCAGCCAGCTCATAGGCCGCGTCTGAGCTGGAGCGTCTACAGCCCGCCCCAGAAACCTGCTGATAGGATGGAGATCTGTCAATCAACAGTGCACATGGCAGAGCACTGGTCTGAAATGTGTGGGGGGGGGGTAAACAGTGTAAAACCTCATGAAGGCAGATTTAATCCTTAAGCACATATGAGAATTAATGGAACCACTAACTGTTTCAGACATCGATCAGAGGCACTGCATTCCAGTACATCTAGAGGGTGTTATATTACCAAAGCTTTTAATATATTGTGGTGGTAAGTGGAAAATTATTTGCTGTGGCTTTTCATGCCCATTTACTGTTTATTAAAAAGTATATTGACAGACTCCAATGACATACAACAATGCATCTATTTTCTCAACAGAAATGATTCGGAAACCCAGTCCTTTCAAATCTGGCCTCAACAGTCTGGCCAATTAACAGAACAATTCAACCAAAAATTTATATTCTGTCATCATTTACTCAACCCCACGTTGCTCCCAAACCTGTATGACCTACTTTTTTTTTCTGTGGAACATAAAATATAACATTTTGAGTAATGTCTCATTGTTTTTTGTCCATTAAAGTACAAACAAAAACAGGTTGGGACAACTATGAAACGAAACAGCTACACTTCCTCACACAACTATCCTTTTTGGTTAAAATCGCCAATATCATCATCTTTTTGAGACTTTTTGGGATCCAATAAAGTATACAATCTAGTCTATCACTTTATTTACCAGTTTAAATTGGTTTCACTCAAAAATCTGTCACATTGTGGAAGTCAGCTGGGTTTGACCACACTGACCACATCTGCTTCAAATGAGAGTTGAAAACCTTTCACCATTTAAACCTCTGAAACACCAGAAAGCGATTTCAAAATGACGTTTCTAAGTCAGTACATGGCGTGTTACAGTTGCATCTGCTACAAACACACATCTATGGCGTAAAACACTCAAAAGGTTGCTCGAGCGTATTAGGTTCTCAAAAGTAATCAATGCACGAGAAACAAGACACAGTGGCTTCAGGTGACGTACAGAATAATTAATAAGGCAGCTGTTATCTTAATTAAAGACAGAAATGCAGAGACAGAAGAAGCATCTGTGCGCAATGGCTGACCAATGAATCATAGCAACATTGCACATGAATGCCAGCATTCCTCAATATCACCCTTAACCTTAAAAACATACAGCCAGTCATATAGCGTGAATGAATGTGGCGCAATGAAGAGCAGGCCGGTATCTCAAGCAACAGGGGCAGGACACAGTGAGCATCAACACACAACCTGACACAAAGAAGGAATGTAAAGCAGTTACCACCATGAAACATGCTCTAATCCTCCCTGCGTGTTGCTCTTAGCTGCTGCTCTGTGCGCTCCGCTGCATGTTTGCAGTCGCCTCTACCGTGCAGATTCCTCTGCAACCTCAGCCTCCTGTGCACCCTGATCACGCTCCCATACATGCATGACAGTTGCCGCTGTCCTCATTCAGTGCTGATATTCAGAGGTGTGTGAGTGTGCGTGAGACGGGAGCATTCCTTACGCATTCTGTTGCCGCTTTCCCCCACTGTCCCGCGGGCTCAGTGCAAGCCTCCTCTCTGCAGGCCGACGTTGTCATGGCAACGTGGGCAGATTGATGGCTGGGCTGGGGAGCGGTGATGTCAGTGACGTCATTGTGCTCACGCGACAATCGGACGGGAGACTCGGCTGCAATCTCTGCACTGCAGCTGGAGCAGAGAGGGAGATAGAACACAAAGGGAAGAAAATGAGAATTACAATTCCTGATTCTCCGCTCCTTCGTGTGCCGTGCAGTCAACCCCCATCCCCCTAGAGAGAACCGGTGCCCCCCAGACCAGAGGGGCTCACAGAGGACAGCAATTAGACGCATCAATTCACATTAACACCTGAACTCCTCGCTGCAGGTCTCCGAATCGGAAACAAGCACAATCAATCTTTTAGATTCCTTTGTGTGTGAAGTAGAAAAGGAGCTTATGTATCCGTGGATGACCCCACACACTGCAGCTGTTAAATAAATAACAGCACAAAACAGACGAGTCAAACTGTGTTAGATAACAAGGTTTGATTTCAGAAAATATATCTTATTTTTATACCCTTTTGACATTTTTTCATTTTGTTTGTGCGGTTTTTATTGTTTTAAGAATAAACTGTAAAATATTTTGAACGATAATAATTTTGTTTCTTGTTAATCTCACATAAACCAATTTTACACTTATGTTTTGGATTTACAAGAAAATATACTACTTGATTTCCCAATGGAGTAAAGAAAAAAAAAACATTTTCTTACATGATTTAGTTTTTAAGGTAAATGTACACTACTGTTCAAATGTTTGGGATAAGTAAGAAAGATTTTTGGTTTTGAAAGAAATTATTACTATTATTATTATTAATAATAATGATTATTATTATTCAGCAAGGACAGATTAAATTGATAAAAAAGAGACATTTATAATGTTACAGAAAATTGCAATTTCAAATAAATGCTGTTCTTTTGAACTTTCTATGAAATGTATCATCCTGAAATGTATCACGGTTTCCACAAAAATATTAAGCAGTATTCTTTTCAACATTGATAATAATAAGAAATGTTTCTTGAGCACCATATCAGCAAATTAGAATGATTTCTGTAGGATCATGTGACACTGAAGCCTGGAGTAATGATGCTGAAATTCATCATCACAGGAATAAATTATAGTTATTTTAAATTGTAAAAATATTTCACAATTGTACTGTTTTTACTATATTTTTGATCAAATAAATGCAGCTTTGGGGAGCATAAGAGACTTTTTAAAAACAACATAACTGACCCCAAACATTTGGATGGCACTGTATCTTGTTTTTAGGATATTCAGATATTTTTACTGGAAAACAAGACAGAATATAGTGAATAAGAACATTATTTTTTTGCAGTGTATCAAATCAAAGACATAATTGTAAAATGTATACATTTGAATGAATGCTGATGGCTGTGCATTCATTGTTGAATAAACATACTTTTAAATATATGAATCAGCTGTTTGCCCCAGCTATTGTTTATATACAGACGTCTCGTAGGATTAAAAACAGGTGTTTTGATTGATTTGTTATAAGCTCTTAATTGCCTCTTCCACATCGTTTCCATCACCTTTGATGCTTCAGTACCTCAGAATCTGATTATGCTGCACTCATCACTGTCATAAATTTGCATAGATGCCATCTGAGAATAGTGCTGACAGCACAGCCATGAGCTCTGAAGCATTCAAAAGAAAAAACTCACAAATAGGCAAAGAGGCCTTGACATCTCATAGGAAAAGAAAAATCACAAAATGCAGATGTTAATTGCTGATGTGCGTCTAATATCAGTTTTAATTCTAACAATAAAATATGAAGGAATTCATTCACAAACCTGTAGCCGTGGACTGACAGTAATTAATATAACGCTCTGAATGTGGCAATAAAACCAGTGTCTTTCACACATGAATGAAATTGTCATTAAAGCACTGCAGATATATTATCTGTCATTTCAGCAGTGCTGTGTGAGGTCATTAATTGGATTTTTCTCTCCTAAATTATTTTGTGATTTAGTAAGATGTATAAAGGTGTATAAAACACTTATTTCAGTGTATTGACAGACACTTTTAGGATGATGTTCTATTATTAATTTAAAGGTATGTGCATATTTTCTACCTATACTGACTGAAGAAAAAAAACTTAGATTAACATCCCATCAGGACAATAAGCTCCCTTGAAATGTGCTCATCTATTCTAGTCAATAAGATAAAGTGACTGTAAGCTTAAATAAGATTGCCTTGTGACTTGTTCTTCTTTCTACTATCAAGCAGACAATAAACGAAAAAAAAACTGTATTAAAGTCTCATATAAAAGACCTGGAAGCCCCGGGCTGCTCTGTAGTAAATGAATACCCTCACTTGAGGCACTATGGGACAGCTGGGATATTGGATGTTATATTTAGACGGTTCACAGCCTGGACTGAACTCTTGCCCTAGAGGAACATAACATTAGAGAAAGGCTCTGTAATGTCGAAAAGCTTTTGACGCACCAGCAAGTAAGCTCTGTAATGTCTGGAGCAAAAGCGGCTGAAGGAAAATCTATACAGATTTATGCATCCATGCTAAATTTGAGAAGACTGTCAGGGCCAGAGTTATGCACTGTTATGTTAATCACATTTCTGTCAGGTTTGCATATTTCATGCTTGTGTGAGATTCTGTGTGTAAAAAGTGCTGTTGGTGGACAGGTGTGAACCAGACATCTGCCACAACACAACACAGCCACTGAAGAATCTATATAATACAGTTACTGCCTGAGTGAATCAATGGGAAATTAAAGGGGTTTGTTGCTATAGTATCCAGTCCTTTACCTTTGATTGTTGCTGCTGAAAAAATCTGGTTCTTTATCTTTGTTTTCCAGTAATAATGTTAATAAATAAATAAATAAATTTACCTGAAGCTTCAACAAAATTCAAAAAATTCAAATTAAAAAAAAAAGTTTATGCTTAAAACTACTACAAAAAATGCTTTTGCAATTTTGCTTCTTAGGAAAAAAAATTTTTCTGCGTAATTTTGTACTGGAAAACAAGACAAAGATGATTAGGAGATTAGGAGAGAATATTTAATAGCATTCGTAGTAGCCATGTTTTACATTCTTAATATAGCTAAACCTGCTAATCACCACAGAATATACATCGTTTCCATCACCTTTGATGCTTCAGTACCTCAGAATCTGATTATGCTGCACTCATCACTGTCATAAATTTGCATAGATGCCATCTGAGAATAGTGCTGACAGCACAGCCATGAGCTCTGAAGCATTCAAAAGAAAAAACTCACAAATAGGCAAAGAGGCCTTGACATCTCATAGGAAAAGAAAAATCACAAAATGCAGATGTTAATTGCTGATGTGCGTCTAATATCAGTTTTAATTCTAACAATAAAATATGAAGGAATTCATTCACAAACCTGTAGCCGTGGACTGACAGTAATTAATATAACGCTCTGAATGTGGCAATAAAACCAGTGTCTTTCACACATGAATGAAATTGTCATTAAAGCACTGCAGATATATTATCTGTCATTTCAGCAGTGCTGTGTGAGGTCATTAATTGGATTTTTCTCTCCTAAATTATTTTGTGATTTAGTAAGATGTATAAAGGTGTATAAAACACTTATTTCAGTGTATTGACAGACACTTTTAGGATGATGTTCTATTATTAATTTAAAGGTATGTGCATATTTTCTACCTATACTGACTGAAGAAAAAAAACTTAGATTAACATCCCATCAGGACAATAAGCTCCCTTGAAATGTGCTCATCTATTCTAGTCAATAAGATAAAGTGACTGTAAGCTTAAATAAGATTGCCTTGTGACTTGTTCTTCTTTCTACTATCAAGCAGACAATAAACGAAAAAAAAACTGTATTAAAGTCTCATATAAAAGACCTGGAAGCCCCGGGCTGCTCTGTAGTAAATGAATACCCTCACTTGAGGCACTATGGGACAGCTGGGATATTGGATGTTATATTTAGACGGTTCACAGCCTGGACTGAACTCTTGCCCTAGAGGAACATAACATTAGAGAAAGGCTCTGTAATGTCGAAAAGCTTTTGACGCACCAGCAAGTAAGCTCTGTAATGTCTGGAGCAAAAGCGGCTGAAGGAAAATCTATACAGATTTATGCATCCATGCTAAATTTGAGAAGACTGTCAGGGCCAGAGTTATGCACTGTTATGTTAATCACATTTCTGTCAGGTTTGCATATTTCATGCTTGTGTGAGATTCTGTGTGTAAAAAGTGCTGTTGGTGGACAGGTGTGAACCAGACATCTGCCACAACACAACACAGCCACTGAAGAATCTATATAATACAGTTACTGCCTGAGTGAATCAATGGGAAATTAAAGGGGTTTGTTGCTATAGTATCCAGTCCTTTACCTTTGATTGTTGCTGCTGAAAAAATCTGGTTCTTTATCTTTGTTTTCCAGTAATAATGTTAATAAATAAATAAATAAATTTACCTGAAGCTTCAACAAAATTCAAAAAATTCAAATAAAAAAAAAAAGTTTATGCTTAAAACTACTACAAAAAATGCTTTTGCAATTTTGCTTCTTAGGAAAAAAAAATTTTCTGCGTAATTTTGTACTGGAAAACAAGACAAAGATGATTAGGAGATTAGGAGAGAATATTTAATAGCATTCGTAGTAGCCATGTTTTACATTCTTAATATAGCTAAACCTGCTAATCACCACAGAATATGCCACTATATGCAAATATCACATCTGCTACTGTGTACATGGCATAAATGAAGACATTAAGAATCACATCAATAATGATATATTCACTCTGTTTCTTTCTCTGTATACAAGCTGTGCAGAGATTCAGGAATAAATCAATAACACAAATACTGATGCAAATGCTGCTAGAGCTGCTATGGGATACATTTTCACAGTTAACAAGCGAAACTGATACACTGTTCCAGCTGATGTCCATTTTTCCCATTTAAACTCTGAATGATTGGGATGCACAATAACAATGTGGTATCGAAATACTGGCTAATAGAGATTTTTTAATTGGTAATGGTCAATAATACTGGATATATATTGAGTTATTTAATTATGAATTGTTCATGCTCGTTTCCTCTATTTCTGCATTCAGATTCCCTTTGCCATTATCTACTAATGCTCAGTTAATCTTTAAAGGGGTCCTATTATGCTTTTTCACTTTTTTATTAGTCAGTGTGTAGTGTGTATGTTTGGGCATAAAAAAGATCTACAAAGTTACAAATCTCAAAGTCCACTCCAAAGCGAGATATTTCGGGTTTTTTTTAAATCCCTTTTTTGAAGAACTACAAAGAACGGCTCATTTGGACTACATCGTTGTTTGCCGGGTTATGTGATGTCACAAAACGGCCCATTAGAATATCAATAAAATAATTCCCACCTACAGAAATTAGAATGGTTGGGGGGTGGGGAGGGGCGAGAACGCTTGTTTGAGTGCATCAGATGAGATGACGACGAAGAAGTGCTGCTGCAGAGATCAGAGAAAACAAAGGTGAAGAAGAGCTGCTGTGCTGTAGCGTTTTGGCATGAGGCGGATGCACACTGGACGAGAAGCGTAGCGCCGCTTCTAGAACAATTCTTACAAGTACAACACGATGTAGCTGGGCGCCGCGGACAGATGCCGAACGGCGCCACCGGTGTGCCTACACTTATAGAAAATAATGTTTTCGAATTTTAAAGACGTGGCACGACGGGACGCCTGTGTAGTCCAGTGTGCAACCACCTGGACAGCTAACCAATCACATCACATTGTGTTTTTCGTAAGGCGGACCTTCATCAAACCCGGAACTAATCGAGCAGTTTGTGCCAGGCTGGGGAGAAATGTACTTTAATAATGTAAATTATTTGAAAAATAATGCGGTTTTCGAACCACCAAGCATGAGAGCATGTTCTAGTACACCCCCAAAACAAAATCAAGACTTTGTAAAAGAACATAATAGGACCCCTTTAAAAACACTATTAATTTAATAACACTGCAATGTTAAATCTGTAATAAATATTTAAATATTTATTTTAACATATTGTGGTGCCTTAAACCACTTGTACCATTTTAACAACTGATTTACATTTTCTTTTATTTATAATTAATTATAAAAATACTATTAAACTTTAATGTCAGACATTTGTCCATTATCGGCCATGAAAATCTGTATTGGCTCAATTTTAATATCATGGGAGACCCGGATTTGAATCCAACCTAGGTTCCCATTACCAAACCCCCCCCCCCCCCCCCTTTAGGTATTTTTTCTGTGTTTAACAATAAAATGTGGAATTCTGATTAAGAATTAAGGAATTCTTAACTACATCTGTTGAAGTCGGCATGAAATGGAAGTTCATCCAATCTATTTTTATTTGCATCTTAAAGATCTTGTTGTAAACAATTCATCCATGCATCCGTTTCATTTTCTAAAACATTTTTTGACCTCAAAATTTGTAACTGATTTGAATAATTTTCAAAATACCTCAATCTTCAGTGAAAGACAGACTTCTAGCTGGTGATGTATTCAGGACTTCTCCAATCATTCAGTCCACTTAAATCCCGCCCCTTTCTTACAATCGTCTGCAAGCTCGCATTCAGATCTGCTGCCATCCAATCAACAACCGATGGATAGAACCGAGTCACTGCCCTACATAATTTTTTTTCTGATAATCTTGGAATGTACATCACAATATGGAAGAAATGATCTGTCACTACTTCTATTGCAACTTTAAGTACTATGTGAATGCACAAGTCTAACACACCAAACACAACAGCTCCCATCCACTCACCTTTTTTTAATAAGGTCCAGGGCAGATCCCAGGAAACCATCCCTCATTTTATAGATTTTGGCTCCATAGCTGGAAAGGTCTGTTCCGTCCAGAAGGATTGCGGGGCAGCAGCTGGATGGGCCATTGCCACTCTCCCTGTGGGGTGGGAAGGAGAGAACAGCTACATCTGTGGCCCCAGGGCCTGCTGGACCCTTTGTCTCCTCGTCTCTTCCTGTAGCAGCTTGATGATGTAATGGAGAGCGAGCCACTGGGCTTGTGCAGATGGGTCCTCCTGGGACCTCTGCAGTGGAACTGGGCTCAGACACCTCCGCTCCGCTGTGGTTCGAATCCTGAGCGGTTTTGATGTCAATGTCAGTCCTTTCTGCACTCTGCGTTTCCTCTGTCTGTATTCTTTCCTCTCTATGCTTGTCGTTACTCTCCATTTCTGAGAACCTGTGGTTCGTAATGCCCTCCCTTTGTCTCATTCTCTTAAACTCCTCAAACGTAGGTATGTGCAGGCGGCCCATGGGGGGTCTTTTCCTCTCAGGGGTTGACTGGGCAGAGTTAGTGCAGATGGGCTCTGTGGTATGAGATTTACTTATGGTACTAGACTCATGTCTGGAGTTCAGTGCCAGGTTAGGGGTGCTTCGTTGCCTTCGGAGCTGCAGTCGTCGCAGCGCTTCCTGTTTGATCTCCTCAGGACTGGTGATGCGACGGGCACTCAACTCTTGCTGTCCATTCCTTTGCAATGATGTCAGCCCAGTCCGAACCGTTACTTCCTGATCGCACGGATAAAGCGGAGAAGGTGCATTACCAAGCACAGGTTGAGGACGCAAGGGCTTGTGGGGCTCCGTCACACGTGTGCTCTGGAGCCGCAGCTTGTCTCGAAGACCCTTTCGAGCATTTCCGTTTATACCCCAGTCCTCAACCGCTGGTAAAAGCCATTGTGGAAAGAGTGGTATATCCTTCCTCACCAATCCTCGGCGGCCGTAGACTGCCATGCTCTCATGGGAAGGCATTAAGCCGTAAACTTGAGGTCCCTGAGAAGGCCCATCGTACCAGTGGCTGCTTGAAGTGCAGTGAAGAATAAACTCACTGTCCACGCTCCTGTAAGGATACGCATTGGGATCGGACACAGCGGCCCAGTGCAGGTTTTCCAGGCTGCGGTAAAGCCGGGTGCCACCGGTGTTCATGCAGCCCTGTGGAAAGCGCATCGTACCATAGCCAGACTGGCCGTCAGGCTGTTTAAGAGGATGCATACTACTGGTGGAGCAGTAGGCCCCCAGGTTGCTGAGCAGGCCATTGTTGTTTTTGTAGTGGCCCGGTGCTACATCCTGGGCAGGGAAGGGGGGCACGCCGTGGTGAGAGAAAGCAGACAGCGGGGAGCTGAGGACGGACAGGTCCATAGACAAGTCCATGCTGCAGCTTGCAGGAGAGCCTGCTGGGGAGTATTCACATTGTGGGGCTTTCACATCCGGCATGGCCACTGAAATAGCTGCCATATTCCAGAAAGGAGCATCGGGATCACAGCCCTGCAGAAATGTACAGATAAGGCATGGACATGATGTCAGCAGATCAACCTGATTATACACTGAAACTGCTCTGCATCTGAAAATCAGTAATTCACCAACACCTGGTGTTTAAAATTGGTTTTGAGTAAAAATTATAAAAATAAATCTTGTATAGACTTTTGGCAAATTCCGTCCACTGTTGCCTTTGCTTAAATTATTGTGAAAATGCTATACAAATGAATCAAACTAAAAAAAAAAAAAATGTCATCAGAGTAATAACCTCTAACAGAAAAAGATACATCAGTACTAAAAATTTAATATTTTCCAGATAATATTTTGTCTTTTAATTTGATTTCTTTTGGCTTTAGTACAATCACATAACATTTTTATTTAGCATTTTGATATGCAAATTATTTAACTTTTTTCTCACGCAGTATAAATGGGTCTTTCTTGTTTATTACTGACTGCTGTGGAAAATAATTAAAAAAATGGCATACTTTATAAATTTATAAATAAATAACCAAATACGTAAGAAATATATTCCACTGATAATCCTTAGGTATACGTGAGCAATTGAGGATTTTAAAATACCTGATCAAATCTAAAATTACCTCAGGTTTCAAAATTAATCATGAGGATGTGCTACCGAGGATTACTGTAGATGATTCTGAAAATGCAAAATTACCTCCTTGAAATGTCGATTGTATGTAACATTTGCTAATGGCTTGTATGTAAGGGATTCTGTTGCTCACTTGTGTTTGCAGCAACCCTACAAATAGTGCCCTCTATCCCTATAAAATGCCCTGAAAGGGTGCAAAAATGAAAGTCACCCAACATTTCTCATATTTAAAAATGGATTTCGTATACTGGACAAAGCTACCAACATTCCTCTTGCTGTAGAACTAATTGTATACTAATCTAAATCACATCAAATAATCCTTCCAACAATAAAACTACAGCTAAGTAACACAAGGATGTTTAACAGTTCAATAACCACTACAGTGATTACAATGTTCATCATGCGTAGTTCCTATGACTTGTATAATTAAATTCATATTCTAAAAATGGCTCTTTCTGTTTTACAAATCAAATGGTGGGAGGGAGTTCTGTCTGGAATTAAAAACATTAAACCGAGAGAGAGGAAAATCAGAAGGGACAGTAATGAAGAGAGCCACAACATTCGCCCAGGGCTCTTATTCCACTAATCAGATGAGAACTGTGGATTAGCAATGAGAGTGATTCTCTTTCAGTAATTAGAACAAATTGCCATGCTTTGGGCCATATTCATATCCACCCGTAATCTTAAACAGAAATCAGGGTCAAACCAGGAGTTACAAAAGAACATGTCACAATAATTCCGGGCAGCAGAGTCAGGACAAATCCATCTGAATATTCATCTTCTTCACAGTGCCTGTCAGAGAACAACAATGGCATTGCGATTAGATTGAAAAAGGTGGGAAACCAGCAATTTTAAGTGGGGGAAGCCCAGCATGTTCAGGTGTTCAATTAACGTTTGGCCCAATTTAATTAAAATGGAGCTATTGAAACCCCTCTGGTATTATCAGGCTAATTTCCATCTCTAATTTCATCTCCATTTAGGAGATAAGAAGATTTAAAAAAACCTTTTTGTTTTTCTGTGAACTGTACAGTGGAGCGCTCAGGAGGATCTATCTTTGTGGGCGAGTAGACTCACTGTCTCAATAGCACTGCCAGTGTTTTCTTTCGCTTGCGCTTGAAAACTGCTGACGTGTGAATAAACAGTCAATTAGCATAAGGAGCTTGTTTAATGAGCATGTGGCACAGGATCAACTCACGCCGGGCCCACTATGTCCTCTCTGTGTGTGACAGACAGGCAGATGCTCCATTTCCTATTTGAGCAGAATTCTTACGGACACAAGAAAGCGAGAGCAGACTGTCCCTCACTGAGACAATAGCAAGCCATACCAAGCCAAAATACTAGAGATTCAAAGACACTAAAACTTGAGGACTGGATTAGCCAGATTCATGACAAACTAATCAGCTTCCCTGACTGATTTTACATTACCCTTACGCAAAGAATATATATTTCCTTATATATGAATGATCAATATATTAAATGATTTAACAGTATATTGAGAATATACAGAATAGTATATTGTGTTAATATATTACAAAACAGTATATTGAATAATAAATAAGGAATTGCCACTTTCATATATTGAAAAATATGTGACAATATATTTAATTATATATTATAATATATGTAATTTTATATTCAGTAATACACTTCCTAACATATAGATGTACATGTGATAAGATATGGTACTGCATGTGTATTAATATATTGCACATATATTTACTCATGCAGTATATACACACATATATAAAAATGTATAATATATTTCTTATATTTTATAACTATTTACGTAGTTAATTTTTTCATTTATAGCTAGATAACAACAGCACAAGCCCATCTGCATGTACTAAAGTATTTAGCAAAGAGACTATCAGCGTGCTGAAGAGTGCACAGCCATTACTTTTTTAAATAAAGTAATATATAGTCTTAATGCTGTTTGGCCAGTCGTCAACCTGACCACAGGCTCGACTTTTCAAAACAACGGTAACCCCAAAACTCAGACATGCCAGAAATCCTTTTAAATTCTAAAATAATAGAACATTAAACACTAACAGATCTCCTCCTATATTAATACTGAGCAAAAACACGAGATAACATTTAATTTTAAGATTTACTCTCCTTTAACAGAAGCAAAGCATGCTGGGAACTAGAAATCTGCTGTAACTCATTCTGTGAACGTGTGTATATACAGTATGTGTGTACATACATTCACAATTATACAGGGACATGTACTGTATGTGCAATATATGTACATAACAAAGGATAAAACCTTACGAATATTACATGTAACGCTATTTTTGTCTTTATATGTATCAAAATATAGCCATACATGGTCAATGCATATATTGCAGTATACTGAAAAACATATGCACTAGCTTCCCCATATATGGAAATGTATTATGCAATGTATGGTATTACACTTTGCAGTATATTCCCATATATTTTTGTTTTGTAAGGGTCTCATTTCTTTAACCAGGTTAAACTCATTGAGATGAAAATCTCTTTTATAAGTGTGACCTGGCCAAGAAGTGATCTGGCCACTGAAACACAGTGAATCTGTATGTACTTTATATATAAATATATATATATATATACATATATATACTTGTATCTGCAGGCCTCTGCTGAAAAAGTGTGTTAGAGAAACCCTTCAGGATTGCAATATGTTAGTCTTTTTGTTGTGTTAGTCATAAAAACTTACCCCATTTTAATCAACTCTGTCTGCACCTTTACTCGGCTTGCTTTAGGCTCTCATTCACAGGCTCTGAGTCAACAGAATCTCTTTTGGCTTGGATTAGAGGTAGACAAACCATCCACAACGCCAGACTGCTGAGATCTCAAGCACAGGCAGCTACAAAAGAAGAGAAAAAACATCAATACAGGCATCCACAAATAATACAAATCAATTTCTAAAACGAACAAAGGATCCTGCAGTATTTCTAGGGATTTTGTGTTTCTGTTTTCTTTGAGAAATGCATTTGCTATAACTGAGGAAATTTTGTTAAGAAGTCAAACACTCTGAATAAAACAGTCATCACCGGGGTTTCCCTTATACACAAAGAAAATTATTTCTTAGGTTTAAGGATATTATTCAGCTTAATAATTTTCTTGCTTTCTAAGAAAGGTCTATTTTTTGTATACAAATCAAACATAATAATGCTAAGAATACATTTTGATAATATTCATAAATATTAACATACACAAAAAACTGAATTCCAAAATATTCCAAAACACATGTACTTGGGACCTCCTGTGATTCAAGACTCTGAAATTCAAGGGCATGTTGTGGGCTTTACAATTTTATCTCTTCTGACCTCAATATCAGCCAGAGACCTTCTGGAATTAGTTCAAGTTGTGATAGTGGCACGTCAGTGAATGTAGTTTCAATGATTTCTCATTACTGAGGGAGACACAGCTCGACCTCCACCAGGATGGAGTCAGGCTTCAGTCAATAAACACATTCAGTTGCTCTTCTACTCCATCTTACTAATGACTCTTGGTGTTTGGTGAATATCTGTCAGTATGTGGTCCAGCTGCTCACTAACGTGTTTCAGAGTAACAAAACCCTGAGGATTGCAGCAGGACATCAGTAAGCGAAATAAGAAGAGACGCCTTTCTACCGAGTTGTACTCGCAATATGCACACACAACCATTCCATGCGGACACTTTAGTCTGATTTATGACTAAATGACTCTTATGAGCGGTTCTTTTAATGAATCGTTCAAAACATCTCACAAAGGCTGAATTCAGAATAGCATACTGGCATACTACTGTTACTATTTTTAGAATACTAGTATGTTATTCCGTGACGAATTCTTCTCTGAATGAACTCACTGATAGATAGACAGTGCTGCTTACATTTCCTACACCTTCAAATGTGGAATTTTTATTCTTTTCCATCAAGCCACTGCTGTAGCAAAGTTGCACAGTGATCTATGAAAGCTGCTCCATATGGAATCATAGACTAAAAGGCCACATATTGATTGTATCTGCAGGTTTGTGTGATAGCACAGCAGGGGTGTTTCTAGGTTTCAGGAGGTGGAAAGACATGGAGCGCAGATGGAGATTCACAGTATGATTATGCTGCAGAAGACTGACCTCATGATTGGTTGTTGAGATTGATCTATTTCGTCACAAAGGTCACAAAGGCCACTGCAGCAGATATCAACCTATTTCTAACCACTGGATTTGTGCTTCCACAAAAAGGATTTTAAGCTGTGAAGAGCAATTTCAGTGAAAGAGGGGGTCATATAAGTACACTGGTGTTGAAAATGGTTGAAATCTGCATGTCTGTGAAGAATATAGGTTAGCTTTAGTTGAAATGGGGATGGTTTACAGAGTGAATTTGGGTAAGATGTGCTAGGGTTAAAGTAGCCATTCTCAGATTAGTACCTGTTGGTGATTTTGCCTAATCCAACTGATCCTGCAGAAAGCCGATATGCTGGAAAGCTCAGGAAGGTCTACTAGCTATTGATCATTGGCTGCTTATCTCCCATATCTTGCAGTAAGAGGACTAAAGGCTATCTTTACAGTCACACTATGCGTATTAGGATTTATATTGCAAATCCTAAATCTAATGTATGATTTGGAAGAGTAAATGTTATCATTTCTTTTTAACATCCAAAAAACAGGTCAAATTCATCAGGCAAATTGAACCCCATGAATGTATTTAATTTAAGCTACACAAAACAAAGCATACATTATAAAACATTAATAAATTATAAAACAAATAATACCACTTAATTCATTCATAAATTAATTTATAGATAATTAACTTATCCACTTGCACAAACACACACACACAGACACACACACATTATACATAGATACATTTTTGAACACAGCATGTTTGAATACTATTTACATTTTAAATAATGTTTTAAAAATAATTTAGCTAGTGGAATGACATTTACGTATACAATTAAGTGCCTTACAGTTTTTCTGAATTGCTAAAACACATTTCTTGAAACCATCACTCATTTTCTCAAAACCTTAAACACAAGTCCAAATACTCAAACCAAATTCACGAAACCTCTGACTCTTCCATCAAAATCAAACAATCTCTGCAAAACCATTTCACTTGCACTTAAAATCAAACAGTGCTCTCAGATCACACACACGAGTCAATAAAACAAACACTACAGAGCATTCATTAGACACTACAGAGAAAAATGGAGAACACAGCATCCAGAACATTACAGAAAAAAAGTATATTGTATTGAGTAAACAATTTTGCAATTCTGTAAAAAAAAGTATAGTAATTGCAACTGAGTAAGGTGAATATATTGTATAGGCCTACTGAAGAACAGTATTGTGCTGAATATTGAATAGTACTGAATGTTTGTATATATTCAGCACTCGGATACTACAGAAATACTGCAGTCCAACTGCAAAGGCCAAAAAGGTCAAATAAAACTCTAAATGAATAGCATGTTACAGTACACTCAAATACTGTGCAATTGTAAAATCAGGGTCAATGAGAGATTCATTCTGTCTCAGCATCATGTCTTTGTGCTTGAGTCCGGCCTGAGGACTTTGTCCACATCACAAGTAATGTTGTCTTTTTTGCTAGACAAAGAGAAAACATCCTCTGGTCTGACAGATCCAGCCTTGATACTGTAACACTCTCTAAACCTTACTCTTTCTCTCCTCATCCTCCACTTCTTGCATGTACTCTTCCTCCTCTCCCTCTCAGATTGTTTCCATCTATTGTTCGTATCATCATTCAGTCACCTGTGCCACTTGTGCACTCTGAACTGCCTCATATTTTGTACAGTTGGTTTGATCACATCATTAGAAACAAGTGTGAACAATTTTGAATCGTTGTGTGTAAACGATGACATGTACTTTAGTTGCGTTTAACTTTTGCCCGCTTGTGTTTAGCATTTTGCAATGCATCACAGTGTGATAAGTGTTTAAGTGAATGAGAATGTGTTTAGAGATTTGCAAATAGAGCCTAACTGCCTGAATGTGTTTAAGGTTTAGCAGAAAGAGTGCGTTATTCAACAAATTGGTTTAAGCTAGTGAGAATTTGGTTTAGAGATTGGGGTTTAGTGTTTTAGCAATATATTCCAATACAGTCCAAATCAGATGCAGAACTGAAGAGCTTCTCTATTACCTGTCAGCGGCGCACCGCACTCATTCTGACAAGAGCATCCGAGACAGAGCTGGGTTACGGCTCTTCAAAGTAAGAGGAGACGGCATCAAAACATGTTAGAGTGAGGCTCAGGAGAGGTGAAGACTCAAGTACCAGCTTACCTCAGTTAATTATGCTTCAACTCTGCAATGAGTCCACTGCATTCAAACAAAATGTACTGTCTACCATATCTGCAACATCTAAATAAATAAAGTATAAAAAAAGCTAAATAAAAATTGTTTGTTACATATAGTAACCACACATACGCAAGGTTTCCAAGGTGAATACCGTACATCATGCAGATTAAAAAAAACCTTGACAAATATACTATAGGGTGTCTTTTCCTGTAGCTCAAGATTGTTTAGTGAATATTTTATGCTTCTGTAGCGTTAACTGAGCTGATGAATAATGCATTCGGTAGATTAGGTGAGAGAAGCATTGTTAGCACACAAGTTTTTCCATAAACACATTAGTTCTATTCTTAGATGACTATGATAATAGTGATTAAAGGCTTGACGCACTAGTAATCGGTACATATTACAAAGCTGTACTGAAGTTATTGCTATTACTAATTGGTGCACACAGATGTCACAATCTTTCTCATAAATCATTATATGTCTGGCAAAGTATAAATGCTGTCTCAAATAACTAGCACAGATCATGTCATTCTAGCCAGCAACAACACAAAGGCAATTTACAGAGCTTGCATTTCCATGAGACGCACACATCAATATGGTGATCAATGTCTGCCGGTCATCTTGTTGGTGGATGTGTTTAATTAATGACCAAGCTGCCACATGTAATATCATTAATGCATGATTTCATCCCGTAAATTGGAGTATGATTGAAGCGCCAATTCATCAGTAAGTTTGCTTCCTAAGCGTTAAATGCTGGCAAATTTACATGTCTCTCATATAGATATCCTCATTCTAATAAGATAAGGCCACTGCTTACATAATGCATAGCGAGACACGGAAGAGGATAAGAATCTTTTCAATGAAATGTATATGCATTGAAGCTCTGTGTGATGTAACCCTGTCGTTAGTTGATTTTTGCCTTGAGAAGCAGAGGGAAATGAAGCAAGATAATAATTGCCTTTCAGACTGATGAATCAATGCCCTGCAGCTCCTCACAAGGATTTTTTTTCACCTCTTCCTGAATTAGATAAGTCACATGAACATGATACCACTGCTCTGAAAGATAAAGCCAGTAGTTACGGACATACTGTCAACAGAAGTCAGTACTGCCCTCAGAAACATTGTGTCAGAAATCATGCAAACTGGATGAGCATTGGAAACGTGCCAATCTCCTTCTCAAAAGCAGGCTGACAGTATATCACAGAGTGATACATAAACTCTTTTGATTAAACATATTTAATAAAACTTGTGGTACAAGTAAATACCTTTTTATTTCAGTAACAAAAAAAGTACTACAATGACTTTTGGACACAGTATCATGTAAATACCATGATGCATGAATATGGTTATCAGTAAGTATAGATGACGTGTCCTCAGCATCAAAATTATATTAAAATGTATACAGTTTAATAAGTGAACCTATTTCACTACTGTTCAAATGTTTCAGAGTCAGTAAGATTTTTTTCTCTCTTATTCTCACCAACGCTGCATTTATTTAATAAAAAATATAGTAAAAACATAAATATAAATTTAAAAAAAAAATTATATTCAAATACATTTTAAAATGTAATTTATTCGTGTGGTGTCAAAGCTGAATTTTCGGCAGCCATTACGCCAGACTTCAGTGTCACATGATCCTTCAGAAGTGACTGTAATATGATGATTTAATGCTCAAGAAACATTACTTTACATATTTGTTATCATCAATGTTGAAAACAGCTGTGCTGCTTAATATTTTTTAAGAAAACGGATACATCTCATTTTACATTTTTCTAGATTATAAATGTCTTTCACTTTTGAATATTGTAATGCACCCTTGACGATTAAAAGTATTAATTTATAATTATTCATTTATAAAAAAATCACTGACCCCATACTTTTGAATGGTAGTGCAACTAGTCATGTGACTGGTCACCCTTTAATTTTTGTACAACAAATGAAATGTACAAATACTATTTAATATGAATTACAAATTACAAATGAATTTATATATATATATATATATATATATATATATATATATATATATAAAATGCTATTTCATACAGTATTTGTTTGAGTAAAGCTTGTCACACCGAAGAACGTCCCAAATAATTTCATGTCAACTATGCACATAGCACATACCAAAGCACCACAGTATAATCATCGGATGCCATCACTGGACGATTATTTCACCCCAGTGCTTTTTCTAATGCTTTCTTGATTAGTAAACTTGTGGAGATGATGATGATGATAAAAGGCAGCACTGGACAGTTTATATGTAATTCCCAATATTCCATAGGCTATGAAAGCTTCATAATTAACTGTGGAACATTTATAGCTCAACCTTCTAACAACAAACCTCAATACTACTAATATGACAAATATTCTGATAGGTATTGAGAGTAAATATATATATATATATATATATACAGTATCTCACAGAAGTGAGTACACCCCTCATATTTTTGTAAATATTTTATTATATCTTTTCATGTGACAACACTAAAGAAATGACACTTTGCTACAATGTAAAGTAGTGAGTGTACAGCTTGTATAACAGTGTAAATTTGCTGTCCCCTCAAAATAACTCAACACACAGCCATTAATGTCTAAGCCGCTGGCCACAAAAGTGAGTACACCCCTAAGTGAAAATGTCCAAATTGGGCCCAATTAGCCATTTTCTCTCCCCGGTGTCATGTGACTCATTAGTGTTACAAGGTCTCAGGTGTGAATGGGGTGCAGGTGTGTTCAATTTGTTATCGCTTTCACACTCTCATACTGGTCACTGGAAGTTCAACATGGCACCTCATGGCAAAGAACTCTCTGAGGATCTGAAAAAAAGAAATGTTGCTCTACATAAAGATGGCGTAGGCTATAAGAAGATTGCCAAGACCCTGAAACTGAGCTGCAGCACGGTGGCCAAGACCATACAGTGGTTTAACAGGACAGGTTCCACTCAGAACAGGCATCGCCATGGTCGACCAAAAGAAGTTAATATATATATATATATAGTTTTTAAAAGCAGATAGACTAGTGGTTGTCATCTAGTCAGCCAAGGGCTCTTCCTCTTCATTACTCATAAGTGTACTCTCTTTACTCCTACTCTGTTTGAGTTTTCATTGGATAATGACACCAGCAGCTCTGGCAACAGTAACAATAACAAAAACAACCTACGAACCTGCCGACTTCACACTTATCAACCTCCTGAGAGAAAGAGAGAGTGCTATGGATCCAGTGTGAAATACTGTGAAGATAACAAGAGAAAACTGTGCCAAGGACAGAGAGGGATGGGACAGGACAGGACAGGACAGGAAATAGTGATTGATAGGTGAGAGTAGAAAGCCTGATAAAAGGGTTAGGTGTGGAGAGCAGGAGACACGAGCGATGAGAGATGAGCGGTATAGGGAGGAGAACAAACATGAGAGAGAAAGAGCGAGAGAGAGGTGGAGAGACAGAGAACATCCCAGGAGCTCCGCTGATAGGCAACAGCGCCTGTAATAAGGCAGGATAGCTGTAAGAAGCAGATGTCCCTGTGAAAAACAGAAAAAGATAATATCATGGAATCACTGATAGCTCTCATTTCTCCCTCACTGCTGTTTGCACTAAGCTGTCCTGGACTTCACAACTAGTTCAGACCACAGCTTTTAGGAAAAAACTAAATGCAAGTTGTTATTCGCTGAAAATTGTACACTATTAATTTTACACTGAGAGAAAAATACAAATAAAAAGCCAAGAACCTGCAACACAGCACTAAATACAGAAGAGTATTAGAGCCAAGCAATAAAAAAATGAAATAAAACCATTTTGAGATGAAAGTCATTATAATGCGAGATTAAACTCGTTAATTTGAAAGAAAAATGTCTAAATAAAATGTTGAGAATAAATTTGTTGTGTTCTCTGTGTGTGGAACTGATAATCATTCTTTCACAATCTACTAGATACAGACTACTTCATTATAAAGAAAAATAAAATAAACAAATATGAAAAAATATAGGCCTATGTATATTTATAATCTATGACAAAAATGTATCATAAACTAGGTTAGTGGATAATTCGGCAGCCAAAGTTATTCTAGAAAAATCAGTGCACAATAATTTTAGAAATCCAAACATTTAGTGAAAAAAAATATATTTTGTGGGGAACAAATAAAAGTGTTGCACTAAATATGGTAAAATGTTACACATTGCTATTTGTATTATTATAAAATGAATGTATGTTCATGAATGTATTTATATATAAGTATACACTATAAAATTAAAATACATTTATTTTAAATGTATAGCATATTTTTAAATAAGGCAACAACATATGATAGATACGATAGGTCAAAACAAATACAGTGCAGCACAAACTGTTTTTATACAGTCAACCCTCTATGGACACCTTGGCAATTGAATCGCCATTGGCTTGTATATTTTTTTGTTTACTTGCCAGAGTGAAATACTATACTATATATATATATATATACAGTGGTTACGGAAAGTATTCAGACCCCCTTAAATTTTT